AATTTATAAATGCACAAAACTATTAAACATTACATTGACATCACAGAATCACAAAAAAACCATTATAAATTTTCAAACTTTAGAGGGGTAATTTGCAATGTACTAAACTTTAAAGGTGTTTTTTGTAAATTTAAAATTAATATATTTTCAATTAGTTATATTTTTTTTCCAAAAAGTTATGGGTAATATTGACCATGAAAATGTTTTCCTAAACCTATACTTTTAAATGGAGTATGATATTTTTTGTAAATTTTTAATTTTCAAGGGGTTGTTAGTAGTTTTGTATATTCATGGTGTTTTTTTTTCAAAAAAATTTTGTTCTTTTCCAAAAAAAGTTATGGGTAATATCGACCATGAACTTCTCATGGTGTTTTGTTTGTAAATTATGAATTTTAGGATTTTTTTATAATTTTCTAAACTTATAGGTCTTTTCTATAGATTGTAAATTGTTTAGAGACTATTTATAATTCCTATTTTTTTTATTTAATAACAAGTTTGAAATTCTCTGGGTGTTTTTGTAAAATTTAAAATTTAAGGTTTTTTTATAATTTTTGAATTTTTAAGGATTGTTTATTATAAATTATATAAATTATGTAGGGGTATTTGTAATTCCTATATTTTCAATGTACTGTTAGGTTAAAAATTATTAGGATTTTTATAAATTCATAATTTTGTGGGTTTTATTTTACAATTTGTAAAAGGTTCAGAGTGTTTAATGTAAATTCCATAAATTTTGGGAGTTGTTTGTGTTTTTTTGTAGGTTTTTAGTGTGTTTATAGGTTTGAAATTTTCAAGGTGTTTTCTATAAATCTTGAATTTTTAGGGTTGTTTTTATAATTTTTAAAATTTATAAGATATTTTCTCCAAAGTTAAAAAACTTTAAGTTTCTAGCTAGCATATATTTTTAAATTATTTTACTAAATTGAAATAAGTAAAATTTATACTTTTCAATATGTTTTAATAAAATTTTAAATTTATAGGGGTGTTTTTGCAATTTAAAAACTTGGAGGGTACTTTTTACAAAGTCTACAATCTTTTAAGTGCTTGGTAGTAGGGGTGAGCACGGTTCGGTTCAAACCGAAAAAACCGACCGAACCGACCCGAACCGACCCGGAAAAGGCGGTTTTATGAGTAAGACGGTTCGGGTCGGGTTGACAATTTTTCAAACCGACCCGAACCGAACCAACCGAATATATTTGTGCCTTTGATTTGTGAGTTTATTGATGTGTTCGATCACCATGAATAGCAGTTGCAGGGAATTGATTCATACATAACCAATGTTCTAATGAGTCGGCTCCTTTTTTTGTCTCCACAAAGACCAAATTCAAAGCTTGCTACACAAAGACAAAGCAAGTCCGTTACTAAAAAATTACAACGTGAGAGTCTAGTATTTAATCCAAAAGGACAAGTTACTTCACTTAAAAACAGTATACATACATGAGCAAAAATAATAAATTGAAGTGAAGTTAAAAAACAAATACGTGCTGGCATAGGGTAATAATAATATATAAAAGATAAATTGAAGTGAAGTTATACTTGATGAAGTTAGAACCGAACAAACCGAACCGAACCGCACCGAACCGATTTGTAATGGTTCGGTTCGGTTTTGAATTGTAGGTGGTTCGGTTCGGTTGTTCAAATTTTAATAAAAACCGACCCGAACCGAACCGTGCTCACCCCTACTTGGTAGCATATATTGTTTAGATTTCTCTACAAACTGAAATAAGTAAAGATTTTATCAATTCAATAACATGTTAAGTTTCATTATGAATAGGATAAATCATTTAATTACCAATTCAAAGAAGATATGATAATTACATTTGATTAGGATAACAATGAAATATTTACAAAAAAAGTTAAGAGTAATATTAATCATAGAAAGTTTTTTTTTTTAAATTGATTAAAGCGTATTTAACTTTTTTGACAAGGTAATTTTCAAGTTTTAATTTTTTCCCAAACAAATGCATTAATATAATATTGGTTGATCCGAGGGCAAAAAGTTCACTTTGTTTACAATATTAATCGAAACGGTCATAATCCTGCTAAAAACAAACACTAATATGGACTATTTTACGTTAGTCGGAATACTAATCTATGTGAAAACAAATATCGAATTGGATTAAAATAGCTCTATGATAATACAGTCCTAGCATTATCGTCAGAATGTAATACTCTCTAGTCTGGAGATAAAAAAAAAACAAACTTAGCCTTATGGCTTAACTTCGTTCTAGAATGTAAAATTTGTAAACAAAGCACCAAAATTTTGATCACGAAGCTGATGACTCGTTGATTTTAAAAGTATTTTTCTCCTCCGAAATTGATGATTAAGTGGATAATGTTGCAAAGAAAAATTCTTTAAGGACCTAAAATATGGGATCCATAAAGGGGACAAGTGAGGTGTCCCCCTCCTATTGGATAATGAGTTGGTCATCATTAATGATGGCCAACTCATTATCCAATAGGAGGGGGACACCTCACTTGTCCCCTTTATTGGTCCCATATTTTGGGTCCCTGTAGCAAAGCTCTGTTGCAAATACAAAGATTCAAAGGAATTCTTTTGCCAGCACCCATGATTTAAGGGGGTATATAATATGAAATAACTTCTGTGATGACTGGATACAAGAGGCGGGCCAACGAGCAGCGCTGACGAAGGATCTCGAGAGACGCCAAAGGCAGACAAACATACATCTATGGACCACAATAGCAGTAGGGTATAAATAAATAAATCAATAAGATATTTTATATGAAGAAATTTTTTAAACAAACCAGTTCATAATTTTTTTTTCTAAAAATAGACACCTTTGAGTTTTTTTTACAAAAATCGATCCATTTTGTTTTAATCCGGTTTCTAAATAGTCGGGGTTGTCAACCTCGACTATTTAGTACATAGAATGTTAGAGTTTAGGATTATAATTGGGGGTTTACAACCTCCTAAATAATCGGGTTTGACAACCCCGACTATTTAGGAACCGGATTAAGACAAAATGAGTCTATTTTTGTAAATAAAACTCAATGGGGTCTATTTTTAGAAGAAAATATGAATGAGTTTATTTATAAAATTTATTCTATTTTATATATGTTCATCTACGTTGAATTTCTTCTACATCTCCTTTCACACGCGCGTACTCCTCTTTTTCCCTTGTTTGTACTAATAGACATGTTTAAAATGTAAACATCAAAATTAGATAACTACTTGGTTTGTTGAATGAGTTATTGATAGATAAACCCCCCTTTGAGACACATATTATTAGTTTTAGTTGCATATAAACACGTGAATCTTGTCAGCGCTATATCTTTATTGCTTTAGTTTTGTTTTAGCTGGCTGGATTACCTTTGAGGTAATCCATCCTTTTTTTATAAAAATAAAAGTTTGTGGAGTTTTGTTATAGTCATTCGTGATCACGATCCATGCCTTCCTATTTTCAGGAAAAAAAATGGAAATGAAAATAGTATATGAGATTTATATATCCACAAACTTTACGATTGCCCAATTTTACATATTAATCCCTAGCCGGGCAACCTACAGCGGCCCAGGTATGCTCTGATTGGTCCAGTCTTAAGAAAAAAATGATAAACCGGGCCACGTCTAGCCCCAGAAATATTTATTGGGCTTACATGGGCTGATTTAGCAATTATAATCGGTCCACAGAAATGTGGATGGATATAATACTAGAAAACAGAGAGAAAGCTAGAGAGAGCTCAGAGAGCAAAAGAATCAATTAAAAATGGTCACCAATATCGAATAACACGAGGATGCTCCAGCTTTCGGCTGAGCAATACAATATGCAACAGAGAGGGGCCTTCAGCCCCTCGATCTCTGGCACTTGGAAAGATAACACACCGCTAATTTACTCTGCAATTTTTTTTTGAGAGAAAGGATGGACTACTGTTAATCATAACAGTAATCCAGCCATCTAAATTAACCAAAAATTGGCTGATACATGAAGATACACATTCCCAACCAAAAAGAATGTGCACTTGAGTTCAAACAGAAATTACAAACCAAAAGAAAAACTCTTGTTCCCCCACAGATAAAAGCCAAAACCATGTTCCAGCTCTACCACAACAGTATAATCCATCTCCAGCATGAATAAGAAAGCTGTCAGCTACTACTACTACCAGATAGTAGACTATCTTAACTAAGAACAGAGTTTTGGCCATCAGAAAACAAAACAAGTTTATAGATCTGAAGAAAGAAATCATTCCAGCTGAATCACTGTGTTCGCAAGCCTTCTAGTTGTAGACTGTCCATCAGCAGCTTTCTTCTTTCTCCTCTCCTGAAGTCTGGCAGTTCGAGCTGATAAAGGCTTAGAACCTAACCAAAATGATGAAAATATCAGAACTTTGTTCAAAACCTCCAGAGCTCTCTTCTTCTTGTTTGAAAAAATTCTGTCATTTCGCTCCTGCCATATTTACTCTGCAATTTAACAAAACATTTGCTTATTTAATCTCAGAATTAACGGAAAAATTGTTTCTTTAAGGCAATAATAATAGTGGGAATTCCTGTTGTGCACACCTGGTTCCGCTTAAATCTTTCATAGTTTTAATTAGTCCGTTTAATCATGCAATTGTTATTTAGTCTTATAAGTCACTCTAAATTAGTCTATTAGTTTTCAGTTAGAGTTTAACGTAATATTGTCTACAATCCTCCTCATGACAACTTAACACGGGAACTAATTTACCCTAACTTATATGAATGGGGGGAACTAACTAGCAACTCCAATAATTTAAGATACTACTTTAAAAACAATCTATTAACAAAAAACCCCCAAAATGGGCTTCAATAGACTACACTCTAGCACAAAAGTTCGCTTGTGGGTCAATCGTATGCCTTTAATATTCGCTTATATTTGTTTATGGGTCTATGTCCTTAAATTTTGGCCCATTATCTTGGTTCATTTAGGCCCACATAAGCGTACATTATACGCGTACGCGTAATTGTTATTATAGTTTACGCTACTCGTTTTTACCATTTTAGCCATTTACGCGTAGCGGACGAAAATTCACCGGCTCCGATTTTGATCTCCTCTCGTCTATAAATAAACCGCGTTCTGCCACTCTCGAACTCAATTGAGGAGCGCGAATCCCTTCGTTGAAACGAAGAACGGGATCAAATTAGGGTTTTCGTGGTTTTGGTTAAAGAACCGGGGTAATGCTTTCTGCTTTATTGAAATTAGGATTTCCTCAAATTACGGATTCGGTTGAAATGTTCGATTCTTCTTCAAAGTTAGCTTCTTGTTTTAGAATTATATAGCTTCGGTCAAGGAAAGCTTTAAACTTGCTTCACTCCAAGCCCTCTTCCGTTTAATGGGGTTTGATAAAATTTTCGTTATTAGTTGTTTTTTTTTGGATTTTCTGCTAAGTTGATTGTTGTTTTCGTTTTTGTTTCAATTCTGTCATCTGGGCCTTAAATTTTTGATTCAGAGGGTTTTATCAAATTTTTGTTTTTGTTTTGGATAAAATGGGAGCTGTTTATAGGTTTATGATGATCATATTTCGGCAATTGTAGTAATGGTTGATGATAATACCACTTCCCCTTTAATGTGTTTTTGGTATGTTCTTGTTATTAATTGTGTTCTTGACTCAAATTTTCCCTTGTTTTGCTTGTTATCGAAGGCTAGGTTTCAATTTTATCTTTTGGGTATCGAGTGTTTGATTAAAGCTTTAATACATTGGGGGCTTATGCTGATTATACTTGGGCATTCAATGTTAAAATTTGTATCTTTTCTGCATGCCTTGTACAGTTAGATTGATTTTTTTAGTGATTTGTTAAGGCGAGCATTATTAATTTCATTGCTCATTAACTTGTTGCTTTTGGTTCATCTCATTCTCCAAGGTTCTGACTTTCCATCCACGTTTTAGATTCTTCATGGCTTTTCTCAATAATTTTTGGTAGTTTAGGTTTTGATTATCTCGCTCGGGCATTCAGCAATGGGTGTCATAGATTGCGTATGTATAACTATGTTGTTACTATTTTTTGAGTAAAATAATTATATGTTGTTTTTTTTTCTCAAAAATGAGATATCGCGGTCCTGATAATCATATCAGGATATTTAATGTTGGATTTTCTACTTCTGGAGGATGGGGTTTAAATTCAGGGCTTCAAGGGTCAATTGGCTTTACAATGAACTGGGTCTCTGTGCAAGTTTAAAACAGTTTTTCCTTTTAAAAAAAATATAATTTGTATGATATAATTTCTTTCAGGGGTGTGATCCTAATTAAAATTCTAATTTTTTTCTTTCCTTATTCCTTTTTTTTGATATGTTTTTGGCCAAAAAGCATGCATGTACTTGATCACACTGACATTCTCCAGGATACATCAGTCACATTTTCCAAGCCAGACCCAGCTTTTCATGGTGTCAACTTGAGAAAGTAATAGAGATATTGTTATTTTCTTAAAAGTAGAGTTAGTCCCTCAGGTAAAGTATAACACTCAATTGCAATTGTCCGAAAAAGGACTTCATTTTTATGCTGGATGTTGTAATGTAATGAATTTCAGCGCTTGTTAAGTTATCGTTCTCTTTGTTGTTTTCTACTTTGAACTATTAGGAAGAGTTTGTGCATCACCGAGGTGGTATTTACAATCGGCACATCAATTGTCTGCATGTGCAGGTAGTCTCTTGACCTTATGACCACCTCACATTTTAATTGTCAGTAGAATGCAAAGATCTTTCGGTAATCTATTCCTCAAGAAACATTGTTATTATTCTGTTGTTGATCATATGATGGTGTTTGCTTTCAAAGTCTATGTCTTCTAAGTTTTTTAGGTACTAGCATTTGTAAATTTTGAGGTGACTCCATAATGCCCTGTTAATTAAATACTGTAGGACTTCGTCTGACTTTTTATTCTCGAAGTATTAAAAAAAACTGACTTTCATAATGTTTGAGACATTGGAAGTATGTTATGGTGATAAATATATGACAGCATAAGTATGATGATTGGTGCTTAGAATTTCAAGTTCCCAACTCTGATACATTATGTTCTTTGCTATCCTCATAACTAATTAGATTTCTTTTCTTTTGAATGAAGGGCATATAGCCTGGTCTTGAACCTGGATTTTCCCAGTATCATACCCATGTAAACCACTGAAGCTGGTTTGAAATGCTATTACTATGTAGTTTATTTTGAAAATTAGTTTACATTTATAACATCCCAAGCATGGAATTGCTTCGAAGTTGCTTATCCTGGTAACGTTCTCGCTGGAGCATGTGTTATTATGTAGTGTTTCACCATGGTCTCTCTTACAAGATGCGACTGATGATGATCCTTGAGCTCATGGGAACTTTCACACTGCAGACACCTTACTTCATATCTGTGGCAAGGATGTTTCACTTTTAGGGTGGTGATATATAACACACCTCAAAAGGACTAGGCTAGCACACATTTTCTGTTTCATTTATTATTTCTTGAATATATGCAAGAATCTCGGTGCTTCATGTGGTCTAGGTTTAAATAACTTCCATATCATGCTTTCAAGGTACAGTATTGTCATGAACTTGGTCTTTTCTAAGTTCACAAGCAGCACTTAGCAAGCCTTTTACTAGTAACTCACTAATTTCAGCCTTCTGGCACTCACACCAAGGCAAACTAAGTAGCTAAAAGAGAAAGCGAGCTCTTGTATTGCACTCATAAAAGATTAGAACTCTTGTATTGCACTCATAAAAGATTAGAACTCTTGTATTGCACTCATAAAAGATTAGAACTTTTGGGGGAATGGTTTTGCAAGCGAGGTTTCCCCTCTATCTATAAGCCTCAACCTTCCATCATAGGATTTCTTTAGAACATTGTACATCCCTCATAGTTCCATACTTTTCTAGAGTATTCTACAATACTCTATTACATTTTACTACATCCCATTACATTCTAATACTCTCCACACTACTCTAGGACATTCTATTATGTTCTAGAGGACTTTACACATACCAAGAATGTTCCGGAAGGTTCTAAAACATTCTAGACTTTTCTAGAACACATCTAGATTTATATAAAAATTTGTAGAATTAAGTAGTTACCATGTTTAGGCGGCAAAAATCTCTGTCTCTAAGGTGGGATGTAACTCCGCACTCTTCAGCTCCTCAAAAGCTTCTTGACATCTCCCCATCCTTGCCCATGGTCTGTTCTTCATGAGATCAGTGAGCAGAGTCAGTCTTAAGCTTGGCGGATCCTACCAAACTATATGAGGTACAAACTGACACTTCAGACTTCACTATTGGTGGAATACTCATGTAGGATGGACATCTAATAGCTTATGAGAGCAGGAAACTGAATGATAGAGTGCGTTGATATACAGTACATGAGAAGGAGATGATCGCATTGGTGCATTGCTCAAGCATGTGGAGGCACTATCTGCTAGGATCAAAGTTCGCGATAAAGACGGACACTGTGACAGCGAGCTATTTTCAAGCATAAAAGGAATTAACACCGAAGCAAGCTCATTGGCAAGATTTCTTGGTCGAGTTCAACTACACTTTTGAGTATAAGCCGGGCAAAGCCAATGTGGTGACCGTTGCACTCAGTAGGAAGGCGGAACTACATTATATTGCACGGATCGATGGATATATCATCTTGAATATCAAGGAAGGCATGAATTAGGGTCCTTGGCCAAGAGCTTGATGGCCCTCACCAAGCAGGGCAAGACAAGAAAATTTTGGGAGGAGGATGACATTCTCTACACAAAAAGAAGGCGCATCTATGTCCCTAAGTAGGCTAACCTTTGAGCTTTGACAAGACCTTATGAAAGAATGTAATGACTCGATGTGGGTGGGACATCCAGAGCAACAACATGGATGAGCATTGCTTGAGACGACATACAATTGGCCATAGTTACGACGTGATGTTGCGACTTACGAGTGAACTTGCTTAGTGTGTCTACAAGACAAGATTGACAACTATTTACCTGGAGGCTTGCTACAATCCTTGCTTATTGTGGAGCGTCCGTGGGAAACTGTGACTATGGACTTCATTATGGCTTTACCCAGGTCCGAAAGCTACGGGACCATTACCGTGGTGGCAGTGGCGTAGCCAGAATTATTTTTTGCCCTGGACGAAAAATAAAGGTGGTCTAAAACACCTTACGAGCGCATCAGAACGCCTTCCTCTGCATCGCCGACGACATGTTCGCCGCCCTCACCTTCCTCAGGGGAAAAAGAAAACCTCCTTTTTAATTATGTATGGACACTGCTAGACTCATCCTGCTAGACTCATCCAAGAGTAATTTTTCAGGGTTGTGTGCCGATTTAATTACGCATCATAAATGATTAATTATCACAATAAATTCTCTTTCTTAGTCCTTGATATAATCTCTCCAGTTAACTATAAACTAATTCCAAACATTCTATGAATTCAGCTCAAATTATGTATCGACATTGTTATATATATTTTTTCAAATCTTGCCCTGGGCAGCTGCCCAGGACAAGGCTAATGTGGCTCCGTCACTACGTGGTGGTGGACAAATTTTCAAGTATGCTACTTTTATCCATACTTCACCTGATGTGATGACAGAGAAGACAACAAAGCTACTATTTAAGTATGTGGTGAAGTATTGGGGCGTGCCTCAACACATCGTCAGCAATGGAGACCTTCGGTCCACAGCTAACTTGTGGACAGACTTATTAAGAATGCTGGATCTAAGCCGCACTATTCCATTCGCTTTCACCCACAGGCAGATGGCCAGACTGAGTGGGTCAATGCATTATTGGAGTTTATGGCACTTTGTGAGTCCTAATCAGTGAGATTGGGCTAAGTTGCTTGATATTGCCCAATTCTCATACAACTTGCAGAAAAGTGAGTCGACTGGCAAGAGTCTATTCGAGGTGGTGACTAGAAATACTTGACAATAAGTACGAAGGAAAAAGTCTTGCAGCATACTCCTTGGCCAAGGGTTGGAAGGAACACGCAAACTTGACGAGAATGTATCTTGATAATGCTCCTAAGAAGATGAAGAAATGGGTGGATAAAAATCGAAGGGATGTGAGCTGTCGATCAGGAGATAAGGTGATGATAAAGTTGCTACCATAACAACATAAGATCTTCTAGAAGACACATAAAGGGTTGATAAGAAAATATGAAGGCTCGCTTGAGGTGTTGCAGAAGGTTGGAGAGAGAGCCTATCGTCTTGAATTAGCACCAAAGTTGAAGATCCATCTTGTGTTTACATGTAAGTGTGTTGAAATCATATTATGAAGACCTAGAAGATCCAAATCGTGGTCGGTCGTCAAGGGTGCCTATAGCAATGGTTGATTCATACGATAAGGATGTTGAAGAGATACTTAACGATCACATAGTTCACAAACACGGAGTGCCACGAAAGAAGAAATACTTGGTGAGATGAAAGGGGTTACCAGAAAGCGAGGATAGTTGGGAACTTGTAGACATATTGTGGCAGTTTGTTGAGAAAATCAAGGAGTATCCTAAGAGGCGACGAGGACGTCACTAGATTACATGGGGGAGGACGTTACATTCCACCTTAGAGACAAAGATTTTTACCAAATAAGCATGGTAAATAGTTAATTCTACAATGTTTTCCATAAATCTTGAGTGTTCTAGAATAGTCTAGAATGTTTAGAATCTTCCAGAACATTCCAGAACATTCCAGAAAGTGTAGAGTCCTCTAGAATATAGTAGAATGTGTTAGAGTAGTGTGGAGAGTGCTAGAATATAGTGGGATGTAGTAGAAGGTAATAGAGTATCGTAGAATTCTCTAGAAAAGTATGAAATTATGAGGGATGTACAATGTTCTAGAGAAACTCTATGATGTAGGGTTGAGGCCTATAAATAGGGGAAAATTTCATTTGCAAAACCATCCCTTCAAAGTTGTAATCTTTTGTAAGTGCAATATAAGAGTTATCTTTCTTTCCTTGCCTTACTCTTTCTTGTTTAGCTAGCTAGTTTCTCTCTGTGTGAGTGCTAGTGAGGTTGAACTTAAGTGAGTTATTAGTGAAAGGCTTGTTAAGTGCCACGCGTGAACTTAGAAAAGACTAAGTTCATGATGGCATGCTATTAACTCATTTAATTTGAACACATCTGTTTGTTGGAAATTTACAGTAAAAAGACAATGAAAGAAAAATTAATTTGTATTCTCTCAAAATCGATTACAATTTGGATTCTGATTACAAAAGAGAGGAGAATGAATTTGATTCTCCCCTTTGTTTAAGTCTGGGTTTTTCACGGTGGCGATGGAGTGCCTCCCTCGAATGCCGTCTTAATTCACTGGAACGTGGTCTTCTCCTCACGATTTGACGTTGTGGAGGACTTGCGTGGCAAGTTTGAAAATAACTCTTAACGAGTTAATAACTCAGAGCGAGTTTAGAAAAACTCTGTGAAAGAGTTGATTTAACCGAAATCGGTTAGTAAGCCAAGGATGAAGAAGATCCTGTTGCTAGTCTCCAAAGTTCCAACAATTCCCCTCAAAAACTAGCCGAAGATCTCTTCTTTGCTGCCCAAAAAAAGAAGGATCTGAACTCAATTGAGTTTCGAGGTATTTATAGGGGATTAAGGGGGTGTAACTGCCCCCTTAATTTGCTCCTCAATGGGCTGAGTGGGGTGTAACCCCCCCTTAAACAGCTCCCCAAATCGTGGGGAAAAACGGTTTTGAAACCGTTCTGTTAGTGCT